GCAGGGAGGGGACCTCAGCTGGGATCCTCCTGGTGTGGGGAAGGGGCCCAGCCTGGGCCTGGTGGGGAGCTTAGGAAGTCTGGCTAAGCAGGCGCTGGTTCATACCAACTCTTACTCTGCCATCTTCCTCCAGCTCTTCAAGCTAGCCCCCCTGCCCCACCTGTCTGGGGGAACGGGCTCTGGGTGACCTCCCTGAGCTCAGCCTGTGGACCCAGAGACCTCAAGGAAGAGTGCCCAGCCGGGCCCGGGCAGGGGCCGGTGCAGAACTACCAGGGCAGAGTTGCTTCGGTGTCTCAGTGAAGTTTGCAACTGACCCAAGGAGGAAACCCGAGAGGGGAAAGGCCGGGAGGCATGAATTGCCAGCACTTTAGCCACTTGAAAACAGCTCCACTTGGAATGTGAGGTGGTTGTATGTTCAGCTGAGAAGTGAGGGGGCTGAACTCCATCATCGCTGGGCTCCTGTCAGTCCGAGGCCCAAGCGTCCACCACAACAAGGAAAGAACAGAGTGAGGGGCCTGGAGGAAGGGAGGACAATTGAAGAAAACTGTGTCTAGACTTTCCCCAGCCCTCTCCTTCTTTCTGCTGCCTACAAGAGCCCCAGGCCCGGCCACAGTTCTGTCTCCACCTTTTAGTCCCCTATTCTCCAACCACAGAGGAAAGAAATAAGGAAGGAGTGTGCTGCCTTCAGAAAGTATCTATATACCTGATCGGCCAGGTGCCTTGCACAGAGGGAGGCCAGACTGCGGCTTAGGCCCGCTCCCCACAAGGACATCCTGTGAGGGCTCCCAGACCGTTAGAAGGGGCAGGCTGGGCTGAGGGATGCCCCCTGAGTGCACAAATTTTTGTGCACCGAGCCTCTAGTAAGAATATAAGGAGCTATTAATATAATCAAATACTTTGGAAAATTACGTACATGTGACAGTTACTATTTTTTTTTCTTTAAAGCAAGTCTTTTTGTGGGAAGGCTTTTCAAAACAAATTCAACTTCTTTAATAGACATGGGTTATTTAAATTTTTCTGTATTAATTTTGGTATGTTGTCTGTTTTCCAAAGACTTTGTCCACTTCATCTTAGCTGTTGAATATAGTTGGCTTAAAGTTATTCATATAGAGCAGCCATGGGCAATCTACGGCCTGCGGGCTGGATCCGGCCCGTTTGGCTGTTCTATCCAGCCCGTGGAGCCGAAAGAGTGGAGGGTTCTCTTGCTCTCCCCTCTGCTCCTTCACCAGCAGCAGTGTTAACATGGCAACGTCGGGAAACACGGCCGCAGCTCCTTCTTCTGAGTCCAGTTTAAGAACCCATTGTGGCCCTCGAGTCAAAAAGTTTGCCCACCCCTGATATAGAGTGATGGCACCTCTTTCATTTTCAACATTGGTAATTTGTGTTTTATCCCTTTTTTCTTATTTGGTTTTTGTTAGGTGCTTGAAAATTTTATTAATCTTTTCAAATAATTAGCTTTTGGCTTTGTTAATTTGTTTTATTGCTTCTCCATTTGTATTTCATTCATTTTGGTTCTTTATAATGAATTTCACAGGAAAACTTAAAAAACATATTCTACAGTTGTTGGATATAGTCTCCTATAAACACCAATTTGGTCAAATTAGTTGATGATTTGTTCAAATCGGCTGTATCGTTATTTATTCTTTTTAATAATTTTCCTATTAAGTACTAAAAGAGGCATGGAAAAAATTTTCAGCAACAATTATGGAGCTTTCCATTTTATTTAGTTGTGTCACTTTTTGCTTTATTTAGGTCAAAGCTCTATTACTAAAGCATATTCTATATATTTAATATGAATGTTGATGCAGTTCAGTTTAGTCTACCATTTTCATTTTTGTTTTTTTATTCGCTCCATATGATCCTCTTTTCCTGTCCTCTTTGGGTTAGCCAAATAGTTCCTATTATCTTTTTATATTAGTGATTGATCTAGGAATAACAATATGCATTCTTAACTTATCATACACTGTTTAAAATTAATACCGCCACACATAAAAATAAACTTGCAAGAATATAACTCCACTTCTTTTGATATTATTGTCATATGTATTTGCATCTCTCTAACTTAAAGGCACCATAAAAATGTTATAAATTTGCCTTAAATTGTCAATTTTAAAGAAATTTTAAAGTATATTCTTTTATATTGATTAACATATATTTTTCTTATTTTAAATGTTATTTCTTCCATAGAGTAAACTTTCCATAGATGGCATTTCTTTTTAGCATGAAGAGCTTCCTTTTACCTTGTTAAGTAAAGATTAGCTGTCAATAAATTCTCATTTCTTTAATTTAGCTGAAAATGTGTCTTTTCAACCTTAATGCTATAAGATAGTTCCTTAGATAAAGAATTATCACTTTTTTTTTCTTTCAGTCCTTTAAAACACAATTTCATTGCCTCCTGGTTTTTTCCATCATTTCTGATGGGAAGACATCCATCATCCCTAGATATGTAACCCTCTGTACAATGTATATTTTTCCCCTCTAGTTATTCCCAACTTTTTTTCTTTGACTTCAATTTTCATCTGTTTGACTGTGGTATACTTAACTATGGTTTTTTTGTTTTGTTTTGCTTTGCTTTTGGACTTACCTTGTTTAGAATGTGATGATCTTCTTGGGTATGTAAAGATGTTTTTCATTAAATTTGGAGAAAATTCAGCCACTATTTCTTCAACTACTTTTTCTGCCTCATTCTATTTTTCTCCTTCTAAGATGCCAATTCACATGGTAGACCACTTGATATTAAAATACAGGTCAATCAGGCTCTGTTCATTATTTTCTTAATTACGGCTTTCTTTTCTTCTGTTTGGTCCTATTGATCTATTTAATTATTTTTTCTATTGTCTTCTCTACATGTTGATCTACCCAGCCAATGAAATTTTCATTATCAGAGACTACAGTTCTCAGTTCTAGAACTTTCATTTGACTTTTTAAAATAGGTTCTATTTCTGGAATGGGATACTCAGCTATTACGAACATCTTTTTAAAAAAAAAAAAAAAAGTTCTTGAACATGTATAATAGCTGCTTTAAAGAACTTGTCTGCTAATTCCAGTAACTAGGGTATTTTTTTAAAATATATTTTTGTATTGATTTCAGAGGGGAAGGGAGAGGAAGAGACAGAAACATCAATGATGAGAGAGAATCATTACTCAGTTGCTTCCTGCACGCCCCCTACTGGGGATTGAGCTTGTAAGTCTGGCATGTGCCCTTGACCAGAATTGAACCTGGTACCCTTCCGTACACAGGCCCATGCTCTGTCCACTGAGCCAAACCAGCTAGGGCATGACCTCCTGTTTTATAGATCCATGCTCACCCACTGAGCAATACCGGTCAGGCAGGATATCTTTTTTGATGTTAGATTTTCCTATTTCTTGACATGGCTAGCATTATTGTGTATTTAACATGGTACATTATAGAGACTCTGCATTCTGTTATTGACCATGAAAGAATGTTGGCTTTTTCCTTTTATTCTAGGTGGTGGCTAAATTACTGGTTTATCATCTTAGACTTGTTGAAACTTAGTTTTATGCTTTTGTTGGAGTGAATCCAGTTGTTGTCTTTTTTGTCCTTAGTAGTAATGTGAATCCCTTAGTCCTGGGATATAGTTTCCACTCCTTGGTCTTCTAAGATTTCCATGGATAGGCTGACATGTTTATTAAGTCCTGATCACTAAAATTGAACATTTAAATACAGGATATTTAAATAATCATGTTGTACTACTTCATCATCATCTTCAGCCTAGATTCACCATAGAGTGCAGTTCCACAGTACTTGAACCTTAGAGCTGAATAGATTTTGGAAATTATCTTTTTTCAAATATTAGGAAATTAATATAGCATATATACCATATATTACATAACATTCAAGCAGGGTGTGGGGCAGCGTTCTCCATTCAAACACATTAACACTAAGTTAATGTTATAATAGGCTAATATAATTAATATTAATATGTAGGCCAAACATGAATACTCAAATGAAATGAGAAAAGTAAAAACTATGAGTAATCATAATTATGATGATTTTGACACTAGAGTTTTGGCACAACCTTCATTGGCATCAGTTTTAGTTTTTGCAGCTTTCTGGATTTTAGAATTGTGGACAAGGGACTGGTATGGACCTTATATAGCCACACATTTTGAGTAATTGAGAGGGGGCATAAAAAAAAAAAGATGTCAGGTAAGAAAAAGTAGCCTAAATAACATCCTATATAATCCTATATAAAAAGAGCTAATATGCTAATTAGATCAAATGGCAGAATGACTGTCCAGATGACCTTCTGGACGAAGCTGGGGCTTCAAGGGCCAAGGCAGCCTGGGCTGCAAGGGCTGAGCTGTTTGCACAAATTTCGTGAGTCAGGCCTCTAATATTTAAATAAACCTGTACTTACTGAGGAGATAGAACTCCAAACAGGTTGTTTTTTGACAAACTTCAGTCTCCAAGTTTTACTCTTTTTCTATTTTCATCTATATGGCCTATATGGCTTTGCACTTCATCAGTACTAAAATCTTATTTAATGAATTAATGACTTATATTACCAGGGAACACAAAATGTGTCCTTTTTAGCAACTTCACTGTTAACTTTCTACTATCCCTTCTCTTCATCTCACTTTCTAATCTGTCTTTCAAAATCAGTAATTTTTCACAAAAGTTAGTTGACAAATTTCCCACATAAAGTGCCAAAGCAATCTTAAGAATCCCTCATAGCCATTGAAAGATGCTCTACCACAGTGAATTGTAGTACACAGTTTCTAATAAACAAAACATCATGCAGTACTGTTCACACTGCTTTTCCTACCTACCATATAGTAACCTTCAGCCTGACCTATTGAATGATGATTAATACACTTGAAAAAAAAAAGTTTTTTTTCCCCTTGTCTTAGTTAAATGGAATGGGAACATTGGAAAAAAAATACTAAAAATGCATATTTCTTTAAACTGGGAGACTTAAGATAAAACCCAAAGCAAGCACATTAATACTTGTCTGCTATGAAAATAAAAGATGTACCTGGGTGGTGGCGGTGGTTCTGGCTTTAAAATGATGGGTTCTTTTTTCAAAAAGGATTTCTAGAATAGGAGCAAGATGAATTAACATAAGTAGGAAAACAATATCATAGTCGGCAAATTTTAATTTTATTGACATTCTGTTATATTATCAAAGGGAGAAGAAACCATTCTGTTATAGTATCTCTTATACGCCTAAACAATAAGAATTTATAATTATACACAGAGGACTATGATTGCTGAGCTGCCTCCAGCATCTTTTGACATCCAAGGAAACAGTTCCTATTGATCATTTCAGTGAGCAATATCCATACAAATCGAATTCAGAAGAGAATTTATTTATTTATTTATTCACTTACTTACTTACTTGTCTTCTGTCTTATAAAAAAAAAGATTTAAGATAGCTTACAAAATATACAGTAGGATTTAAGGTTGTTCTGGCTGCAACATCTGTCATGCCATTGATCAACAGGGTTGATCCAGGCAATCTGGCCAGCTAGGCCATGTCCCCCTCTCCCTCACCAATCTATGTGCGCCCTCTGGAAGCTGTGCACTTGGTCCAAGAGGATGACCTTCTCCCCATGAGAATAGGACCAGTCTTCAGTAAAGGTTATACAAGTAGCTGTGCTCCCCTGCTAGAACCTCCAAACAAGCTCTCAAAGCATACAGTACATGTGAAAAAGAAAACAACAAAATCAAGTTAAGGGGATAACATGTATAAAACAATAATGTGAAATATTTTCTGATATTTCTTGACGCGTCACACAGATTTGGCTCTCAACGTCCTAGCTGTCAAACTATTACAAACTGAATTGTGTTTCCCCCAAATTCATCTGTTGAAGCCCTAGTCAATGTCATGGCTATGTTTAGACACACAGTCTTTCAGGGGGAAATTAAGGTTAAATGAAGTCATAAGGGTGAGGCCCTATCTAATAAGACTGGTGGCCTTGTAAAAAGAACAAGAGATGCCAGGGGCACATAGGCTCAGAGAAAAGACCACGTGAGGACACAGAAAGCAGCAGCTACCCATCTAAGCCAAGGGGAGAGGCCTCAGGAGAAACCAACTTTGCCAGCATCTGATCTTGGAATTCCAGCCTCCAAAGCTATGAGGACATTAATTTTTGTTGTATATTCCACACAGACTGCGGTATTTCGTTATGGCCGGCCTGACAAAGTGATACACAAGGCAACGAAGAAGACATACTAGTTCTAACATTTACAATGTCGATAACAGAAGCAAACCTGAGTTTTTCAAAAGAAGCCTGGTATAGGCAGTCCTCGGGTTACATCGAACTCGATGTACATCCTTTCGTGGTTACGTCACCATCTCCCATTTATTTATATAAAAAAAAAAAGTTGCGTCATTTTGACATATGTACATATGTGCTTTGTGTTCTTTATTATTTATTTACCACAAGTAAAGGGCAGGGATTGTTATCTTTCTTTTAATTTTTTTTTTACTGTTTCACTTCACTACTGTGTGCGTGCTCCACGTGAGTGACTAGGTGCTTATGTAGGTGGGTTCCGCCTTACGGCAAAAATCACGTTACGTTGCGCTGTAGGAACAGATTTCCAACCTAACCCGAGGATCTACAGTATAGGTAATGGTCAGCCTCAAGAGCACCTCTTCAACAATCACACCAGAGTGTTTAGTGTGGATTTTTTTTTATATACAACCCTTCAACATCAGCCAAAAGCAGACCCACTTCAGGTCTCTGAGACCTCGGAATAGCAGGGCCGTTGTGTCTCTGGTGCTTGGGGTGATCCGGGGGTTAAACTGATACCTAGAGGCATTGATGGACTGCATATCCACTTTGTAATCTGTCATGACAACTATTTTGCAAGGAACAGCTTTTGAAAACATGGTCTCCAATGAGAGGAATTTTAGGTTATCTTGATAAATTAGTAAAGAGTTAATGGATTTTGGATTGTTGGTGCTGTCTTCTCCCTCAGAATCTATAAGAAGTCAGTAACAGAATATGTCTTGCCTATTGATATATGGTGTGCTCATATGCCTCAAGAAAAAATGCTTAGTTTTGCTTTTTAATTTTCAAATATATTTTTAATCACTATTTGACAATTGGAGCCAAAGAAGTAAGTCTCTTATGTAAAAACCTAGGATATGTATCTAAAGGATTGATGCAAAGATGAAAAGTGAAAGATTGTGTTTGTGTTGCAAACATACTCTGTATTGAGACACTGAGTGATTGTTTTAAATACTTTAAACAAATCATAAATCCTTCATTCCGTCTTAACACTGCTCTCTCAGATGCAATCTAACTTATTTGTGTTCATTTGTATTTCATGTCATTTATTTTTTAAGATAAAAGAGTAACTCTTCTTCTATTGTTATGTTAGAATGCAACAATAACCTTGAGAATTAGTTTACATCATCTCTCAAGTATTTGTTACTTTTAGAATTCTCTGATCATGTATCTTTTTGAGTAAACAATCATCCTAAAGAATAATGTGCTTTTTAAAAATTTATTTGCAACATATAGGTGAGGATAAATCATGGAGCAGGACCTATATTTTAAATATGGCTCTCAAGATGTTTCATGACACATGCTCATGGCTACAAAAATACTAGTGGCTACAACAATTAATTTGTAACCTATATATTCCATCCTTTTGCACACAGCAATGTGCTTGGCTTGGAACACACTGTCCTTATGTGATACTACTATTTACATTTGCCAATTTATTTTTTAACTGCTTCCTTCTTGGCCAGACTAATTGTACTAGCATGCTATGCTGTCCATGAGGAAGGGTGTCAAGTGTAGGCTGCTAAGTAAAACAGACTCAGACAAACATTCTTGAGGATTTTTCTTACCAACATATTCTCTGATTTTTTTTCCAGTTACTCTCTTACAACTATTGCCTTCACAACCTCTATTGTGTTTCTTCATACCTGGTTTTAGAAACTTTTTTCTCTCCATTTTGCAAAGTCAATAGCAGTCATTTATTTAGGATTCCTGGATGTGTGGTTTTGTTTGTTTTGTTTTTTCTCACTCTTTGCTTTCTATATACTTATATAGTCAAATCTCAAGTCCATTCTGCCTTAATGTTTTAATTCCATTCTCTCTCAAAAATCTTTCCTTTCAACTGCCACCTGCTTCTTTAAATTTCTTCAATATCTCAGTCTCCCCAGGACAATACATTTGAAGTGACACATTCTAAATACCTGGCTGAAGATTGTAAGTCATTTATTAAACCCTCATTTCAAAATCATCAAATTTTTAACAACACCCATTAAAATCAATTTTCAGACTCCTTTCCTCCACATCTTTTCTCAAATTTCACAATTTAACTGGCCTCAAACTTACTTCTGATCATCCATACAATATTGTTATACTTCAAGTTTTGTTTTAGAAGCAGCTGTCTAATTCATCAATTCCACACTTCTTTCCAAATCTCATAGAATTTCTTTTGTCCCTTTTGATAATTCTGCTAATTTCTTTCATTGTCTAATGAGTAACTTATTGCACTGATTAGCTATACATGAAATATCCAAGGAAACCTTTGATTTTATTCTTAATACTAGGTATATTTCTATATTACTATTAGTGTGAAATTTGGGGATATCCTAGATAATAAAAGCCTAATATGCTAAGTGTCTGGTCGTCAGGTCATCCATTCAACCAATCAAATCATAATATGCTAATGACGTGCTAAGGCCGCTCAACCACTCGCTGTGACGTGCACTGACCACCAGGGGGCAGTCGACCGGTTGACCAGTCACTATAACATGCACTGACCACCAGAGGGCAGACACTCTGGCCGGTAGATTAGTTTGTTGCTGGGTTCCGGCCGATTGGGACTGAATGAGACGGGCTGGACATACCCTGGTGCCCTCCATTGGTCCCTTTCCAGCTGGCCAACCTCCTATGTCCCTCCCAGCCCCGATCATGCAACAGTGGGGTCTCTAGGCCTGGCCGGTGCCCTCTACCAATCCTGGATCTCTCAGGGGATGTCGGAGAGCCAATTTCAGCCCCATCCTAATCCTGCAGACCAGGCCGAGGGACCCCACTGATGCACAAATTCATGCACCAGGCCTCTAGTGTTTGTTATAAAAAAGTAATATATAATCGGCATATTACACTTCCAGAACTTACCACCAAAATTAGATAAAGTGTGTTTTCTAAGCAGCAAAGAATGTTCATAGTTTTTAACAGCGTTGTTGACCCTACTGGAAGCATATATAAATATACCATTAAGGGTAAAATGAAAGATTTATTTAAAAATAGGTAACTATGAAGAAAAAACTACTAACAGATACATATAAAACTACAAATTACACCTGAAAACATGTGAAATAAACTGAAATGCTCTTTCAGCCAATCTTGAATATTAACAATTGTGTTTCCCCAGCGGAAGTCAGTCATGCCACTAGCACCTTCTGTAAAACAGCAGTGATCTGCATCCCTTGTACTGCTACCATTTCTTCTATAAGAAATGGTTGAAACAGAAAAATGCCAGTAACAGGCATACATGCAAAACCAGAAGGCACCAAACACACCATTCTGGGACTTCACAAGTCAATATCTTTGCATTATTGAATTATAGTACTTCCAAAAGCAAACACAAACTACAGGACAGTTTGCATGCAAGACATAAAACCACCTCCAGGGAGTTTTAGTAGACTCAGGAAACCTACAGTTTCCAAGAATCTCCTCATGGAGCTGGAGAAGCCTTCATTTTGGAAGTGTTCTCTATGTGATATTTCCTTTACATTTCCTAAGAGATATGGAGGGATCCCAAAGCTAATGTTGGTCACCCTGTAATGACCGTGGCCTCAACAAGCCATTCAACCTTCAGATTAGGGGAGACTGAAGAAGGTGACCCAACAAAGCATAGGTTGTTCATTTACCAGTACTACACAAAGTTTCTTTAACCTCCAAGGGAAATCAAAATTGTAAGAATTTTACTCTTTTATATTAGGGATTTAAGCATACCATAGGGAACAATACAAAGACTGATGAGTAGAAAGGAGCTGGATAGGGAAGTTTACATCCCAATGTAAGTCCCTCAGAGGTTTCAAACCTATTTGTAAATTATATAAG